AGAACCACATGATCTTATCAATTGATGCAGAAAAGGCCTGTGACAAAATCCAACACCCTTTCCTGATTAACTCACTCAACAAAATAAGATCAGAGGGGAATTTCTTCAAGATAGTAAAAAAGTATATATGCAAACCCGAGAGCCAACATTGTTCTCAATGGAGAGAGATTAAAGGCATTCCCTTTGAGAACAGGAACTAGGCAAGGAGGCCCACTATCACCTCTCCTACTCAATACTGTATAGGAAGTCTTAGCAATAGCAATAAGAGAAGGAAATAAGAGGTATCCAAATTGGCAAAGAGGAGGTAAAATTATCTCTCTATACAGAATATATAATAGTATACTTAGAAAACCCTAAAGATTCAACAAGAAAACTACTGGACATAGCTGACCAATTCAGCAAAGTGGCAGGATACAAGATCAATATACAAAAATCAACTGTATTTCTCTACAGTGACAAAGAGAATACAGAGCTGGACCTAAGGAAAACAATATCCTTCACAATAGCTACTCACAAGATTAAATACTTGGGAGTAAATCTAACCAGATCACAAAGGATCTATTAAAAAAATTACAAAACATTACTATAAAAAACAAAAAGGGACCTGGAGAAATGTAAGAATATACCTTGCTCATGGATAGGAAGACTCAATAGTGTGAAAATGACAATACTACCAAAGGCAATTTACATGTTCAATGCAATCACAATACAAATACCAATTCCAATCTTCAAAGAGATGGAAAAGACAATCTCCAATTTCATTTGGAATGGAAAGTGGTCCCAAATAAGGAAAGCACTCCTTCAAAAGAGAAATAAGGAAGGAGGCATTTCACTCCCTGAGTTGAAATCCTACTACACTGTAGTGGTGGTCAAAACAGAGTGGTACTAGCACAATGGCAGACACATAAATCAATGGACTAGAATTGAGAACCTGGAAATCAGCCCATCTACCTATGGTCAACTGATTTTTTATAAGGAGATGAAATCAGTTAAGAAACAACAGTTTTTAACAAGTGGTGTTTGCAAAATTGTAAAACTATCTACAGAAAACTCAAGCAAGATCCACACCTCACTCCATACAGAAAAACCAACTCAAAGTGGATCAAGGACCTAGGGTTAAAACCAAGGTCTATACACTTCATTAGTGAAAAGCTTGGAAGAACTCTAGAAGCCCTAATCCACACATAAACAGTCTTCCAAACATCCTGAAAAACCTACAACCAGGAGAGGATAAAATAAATTAATGTGACCTTTTAAGAATCAAATCCTATACACATCCAAAAACTTCTCCAGCAGGGTAAAAAGGGAAGCCACAGACTGTGAAAAAAATATTTGGTAATGACATGTCTAATAAGTAACATACATCTAGAATTTATAAAATACTCGAGCACCACAAAAAGATAAAGGTAAACAACCCAATTGAAAAATGGGCACAATATATGAACAGATACTTTAACCAAAGAAGACATTCAGATAGCCAACAAACACATGAAGAAATGTTCAAAATCCCTAGCTCTAAGAGAGATGCAAATCAAAACAAGTATGAGATATTATCTCGCTGTAGTAAGAATAGCAAAATTTAACAGAGCAGCAAACAGCAAATGCTGGCGAGGTTGCGGAGAAACTGGAACCCTTATTCAGTTGGTGGGAGTGTAAAATGGTGCAACCACTATGGAAGGCAGTATGGCATTTTCTCAAAAAGATGGAACTAGAAATACCATTTGACCCAGCAATTCCACTACTGGGAATATACCCTAAAGAAACCGTAACTGCCAACCAAGGAGATATATGTTCACTCATATTTATGACGACTTTGTTCACAATAGCAGAGATGGAAACAACCCAAGTGCCCAACAACAGCTAGAGAAGCTTTGGTATGTTCACACAATGGAATACTATGGCTGAACTGAAAAACCAAGAACTCATGAAATATTATACAAAATGGGTGACCCTGGAGGACTTTATGCTGAGTGATATATCTCAGTCACAAAAGGACAAATACTGCATAGTGCCACTATTGTAATGTGGGACTGACTTCGATATTGGGGGAAACTCAGAAAACAGATCAGGGAGAAAGCAGTTTAGTAGAAATATGTGATTAGGTATTATTGCCATGACAAGAGTCCAGAATGAAAGCTGCATAGTGGAGTGGACTGGGAGTGAGAGATTGTATAACAATGAAATAATTTTTTTTTTTTACTTTCTAAAGAGAAAAGCAAACTGGGGGGAGGGGTGAGCAGGGAGGAAAGTGTGCATCAGTGAATGAATGGAAATCTAAAGTCTCTATAAACTTTCACTAAAATAAAAAAAGAAGAGAAAAAAGCAAAAACAAAACAAACAAACAAAAAGATACATTTTGAAGTACAGGAGCTCTTGTGGCCTAATGGATAGAAAGTAGCCCGCCAATCCAAAGGTGGTCAATTCGAATCCACCTGCTGCACCATGGGAGAAAGATGGGCAGTCTCCTCCTATGTGATTTACAGCCTCTGAAAACCTAATGGAAGGTGAGCTATGTGTTAGTTCTGACTCCACAGCAATGAGTTTGAGTGGGTTTTTTTTTTGAGGGGTGGCTAGGGAGGAAAGTGTGCAATAATGAATGAATGGAAATCCATAGTCTCTATAAACTTTCATTAAAATAAATTAAAAAAATTAAAATGGAAATATCGTTTGATCCAGCAATCTCACTATTAGATATACTGTAAAGGGATCTTATATTCTCAAGGAATAAGAGCCTTGAACTGATATATGCATGCCCATGTTTACTGCAGTATTATTTATAATAGCAAAGAGATGGAAGCAACTCAAGTGTCCCTCAATGGGTGAAGAGTTAAAGAAACTATGGTACATACACACACTGGATTATTATGCAACACCAAAGAATGGTAAAGAACTCACAACACTGTATAATATGGATGATCCTACTGGACATTATGCTGTGAGAAATAAATCCGTCACAAAAGGACATATATTGGAAAGATCACTGTTACACAACAATAGCAACTGTTATAAAAACCTGAAGCAAGGTTTATACAAAATCAGAATCATTCTTGAATGGTTATCAGGGATCGGGAGGGAGGGAGAAGAGAGCAAAAGTTAATAGATAACAGACCCTTATTAAGATGGGCCAAGGGTAAGGACATGTACAATAAAGGGGTGATCAGACACTGTGGATATTGTAACTAAAGTTATAAAATGAAGTGTAGACATTTGTAAATATTCATTTACATCACAATTAAAAATGTTAAAAACCAACAAACAGGTACTAAATATATAAACAAAATAGCCCGGCGTACTCACCAGTCCATGTTTTTTTCCAATTCTCAACATCCTTGGGAGGAATTATGGCCTCAAGAGTACACTAGGCCTTCCCTTGGGCTACAGCTTCTAGAAGCCCAGAGTATTATTATCTCTGCAACTCATCAAATGAGGGGCATGGATAACAGTTATGTCATCAGTGACTCACAGCACTGAGACTATTCTCCCGGTGAAAACACACCTCTGCACATGCCCCAAACAAATTTAAACTGCAACTGTCCCTTCGTTTTGCCAAGTGCCTAATAAAACCAGGACATTTCATGTGGTGTGGAAAATCAACCACGTGAGTATTCCAAGACCAGGCCACTCTTTTTTTTTTGGGGGGGGGGGTGTCAACAAGAAAAGGAGCAAATGATGTAAGAGCCCTGGATTTTAGATCTTTAACTTTTAACTTTCTGTAAAAACAGAAAGGAGAAGGGGGAGGAAGAATACAAACAAACAGCTTTAGCAGCTCGCTATGACTAATTTTTTCCCTTTTCAGGCTAAAACCACAAAGTGCCAGAGGAAGAAGGAGCCAGCCAGGGTTAGGCTGTGGGCTTGCCGGTAGGAAGTCACGCCTGGCAACCAGAGATGTGTTATGTGTGATCTGGGCCAGCTTATTTTATTAAGGACACGGTCAATGTCGGCAGCAATCAAGTAAGAATAAGAAAATATTTAAAGAGCAGTTTCAAGCCCTCAGATTTAGCTAGATTAGCCATATTAATGAATTCCATTTCTTAGGTGGTGCTTATCGGCTCCAGAGAGTACACAGAGTCAGCGCTGAGAAACCTAGACACTTGAAGCCATTTACCAACATTTGAAAATTGCGGGCCATTTCCTCGGAATAGTAGAAGACAGAAAGCTCCCCTTTGAAAGCTGCACTTGGCCAGTTAACCAAACTCCATCAATATGTGTGGTTCTCTGTCCTTGACTTCCAGCATCTCCAGTGGTTCTTAAACAGAGTGACTGTGTCGCCCTCCAGAGCTAATTTGGCAACGCCTGAAGATATTTTCAGTCAGTGTGACTTGGGCTGGGGTGCTGCTGGCATCTCGTGGGCAGAGGGCAAGGAGTGCGTCTTAACACGTGACAGCACCCAGGACAGACTTCACACAAAAAGACTGATGCAGTCTCAAGACTGCAAACCTGGAGGTCCCAGATGAGAGCTCTAATATGCCATTTCTAGAAGATGCCAGCTAAGACCATTTGCTGGCTCGCTTGGCCCTCTGTATTTGCAGCGGAGCACATGCTCACAAGGGGCAGCTCCAAGCAACTGCATTCAGTAGCCACAGGCGAGCCTGTTCTCAAGTGCGAGGCTCCAGAATTGCTTGATATTAATGGGCAATCCTCTAAAACCTGAGGTTCCCAGGACCAATTCAAAGTCTGTGGTGAAAACTGTGACAGAAAGAAAACAGTCGCCTTGCAGTTATAATTAAAGAACAGGCGCTAAAAGCATTCAAGGGCGGGGAGATCTCCCTCTCCCCTTTCTGCAGGACATCATTTTAACATTTCAAACCTGGTCAGGAAAAGAACCTTTCCTGTCTTGCGAGGGGAACATGCAGAGACTAGAGTGGTCACTCACACAGTGTGCAAGGCTTAGAACCACACACACGGGAATGCCAGCGAGATCCACCCCACAAACACATCAGCCCTGTGATCTTCATGACCCACCCACACCCCCGCCCCGCCCCAGGAAGTGCTGTACTCACGGGTTCGGTTCCGGGTTCTATAAGTGCAGGTGTAGAGGCTGCACGGCCGCCTTGGCACTGGCCCGGGGATCTGGATCCTTCGCCAGGGCACATTGTGGGGAAATGCCTGACAGAAGCGCCGCAGGCTAGTCATCACTACCATCTTCGGCTTGAAGTCTTGACCAGGTTCCAAAGGACTTGCAAAAACCTAACACCCTAGAGCAGAAGGCGGAGAGGAAAGGGCTGAAAACAATAGAGACTTGGGATCATGTGGCCACCTCTAAGTAGGGCGGCCACACTGGGACTGTGAGAACACACCCTGGGGAGGGAGACAGGGAGGGAGGTAGAAGGCACCCCAAAGGAGAGTTAGCCACTGTTTGCCTCCAATTCACTGGCCACCTCAAAGGAGGCAGGGCCAGCCTGAGTCATGCTCTCTGCCTTCCCCTATGGGCTGGTAAACAGTAGAGGTCCAGAGAAACTGCTCTTTATGGACAAGGATGGAGACTGTTGGGAGCACAGTTTCTCAGTGTTCTTAAAACATGGTCTTCTGGAAAGTCCAGCTGCAGTCTTAGCCAAAAAGTAAATGCCTCCCGGGATGTCTGAGTAGAAGTGGCAACCCTGCTTCTAGACAGCACTGAAACACATAAGAGCCATGTGCCCAGGATGGTCAGGGTGGATCTGAGATCTGAGCGGTGGCCATGGGCCAGCTGGGGTTCACGGGTCCCTTGGCCGAAGGAGTGTGGGGCCAGTGATGCTGACTTCATCTGCGGGAAGGAACACGCTGAGTACTCTCGGTGACTTCATTCAAACACTGCCCCTCCACAGCTTACCACAGCTTCATACAGGATGTTCCTCGGCACACAATGCCACGTCCTGAAGTCACCATCACACCAATTGGGACACTTCTGTCTTATCATATCATCACCTCGACATTTCTAAAAACTACCATCCCCGCCCCATTTTGCCACACAGGTTATGAAATGAAAACGTTTCTGGATTACACATCGTTGTGTACTTACTCTCGATGTCAAAGGGCTGAGTGAGAGTGACTGCCTGGGATGGTCAGGACAGCTGGCCGGGATGCCCCTGGGGCAGCCAAGAAGCCTATGTGGCTTCAAGACTGTGGGACCCACACCACAGGCCTCCCACCCTCTGATCTACTACTCCTTGCTTCCTCCTCTCACCAGCCACGTGGACGTCACTCCTTCCAAGTCCCAAAGCTCCAAGCTCCGTCAGGCTCGAGGCTGGTGCAGATGGTCTTCCTTCCCTCCTGGGACCCTCTCCTTTTTCTCATTTGTGCCTGGCCAACCCCACCCACCTTGTGCTTGTTCACTTTGCTCCAGCCACTGTGTTGGCACTGTGATGCAAAGATGGGCAGGTCCACTGGAAAGAGTGACATTCTTAAAAATGGCCAGGCTTACTGGTCAAACCCCCAAGACTAGAGCCCTTAGTCATCCTTTGAGCCTAGAATGAAATTTAACTCTTGGTTCAACTTTCAACCTAACCGCAGACAGGCCTAGGAGGTGATCACCAACACGAGGCAGGCACTTACTCCTTATAACCAACCGTGTAAGGTCAAAAGAGCAGCATTTTCCCAAAGGATAAAATACTGAAAGCAGGAAAGGGTAGGCTAGAAGGACTAATGGAAATGAGAATCACAAGAAAGAAGCAGGAAGAGTGAAGTACATTGTTGGCAGGTGCCAGCGAGTCTATGAATACAGCAACCTTATGAACAACAGATCTGAACTCTGTCCCATCCTGTGCCATCCTTATAATCTCTGACAGACTTGAGTCCATTGCTGCATTGTAGGTACTGTGTATTAATGGCTAATAGAAAACCAATTTGTTTTGCGAATTTTCATTCAAATCCTAATAATAAATAAGAATAATTAATAATAATAATAATAACAACAACTAAGTTCTGTTACCTGCTGTAATGGGGACAAACATTGGAAACAGGATGCTGAGCGAAAGAAGTCAGACCCCCAACCACACACTGTATTATTCTTTATCTAGAAAATGTTCAGGGCAGCCCTGGTGGCCTAGTGGTAAGGAGACATGCTGCCATTCCAAAGGCTTGCCTTTTGACTCCACCAGCTAGCTGCTCCACAGGAAAAAGATGAGCAGTCTCCTTCCAGGTGGTTTACTGCCTCTGAAGACCTACTGGAGTTACTATGAGTTGGGCCTGATTTGACAGTACACAACAACAACATATGTTCAGGACAGGCAAATCCACAGAGACAGAAAGTAGACTAGTGTTTGCCAGGAAATGGGAGAAGGGCAGAATGGGAAATGACTGCTTAATGGGCATAGGCATTCCCTGTGTGGCGATGAAATGTTCTGGAACTAGATGGAGGTGATGGAAATGAGAATTACAGGGAGGAAGTGGGCAAAGTGCAATCACAAGGTGGGTGTTAGAATCAATGTTATAAAACAAAAAGTCTGGAGATACTTGAACAACAAACTCAATATGCTTTTTGTACACATTTACTAAAAAAAAAAGGTATAAACACACACATGTTTTGTTAGTCTGGTGACATTTACACAATATAAAATTAACCATTTTAATTACACAAGAGTAGACTACCCATCTTTTTCCTATGGAGCAGCTGGGGGATTCAAACCACAGCCGTTTGGATTGGCAGCATACCTCCTTAGCGGTAGGCCATCAGAGCTCCCCTGAACATTTTATGGAAACAGAATAATACAATGCTTGGTTGTTTGAGGGGGGTCTGACTTATTTTACTTAGCATCCTGTTTTCAAGGTTTATCCTCATTGTAGCAGTATTGGGGATGTACTAAATTCACATTAAAATGGTTAATTTTATGTGGTTTAAATTTCAACTGAATCACAAATATTTTTACATATATGTGTAGATATATTTACATTTTTAGTAAATTTTGGCAAAGTATATTGGGGTTTGTGTTCAATTACTTGCAGATTATTTTGTTTTATAACATTGATCATAACACTCACCTTCTAATTGCACTTTCCCCACTTCCTCCATAGAAGTCTCTTTTCCATCAATCCTTCTATCCTACCCCTTGTTGCCTTCAGGGCTTTACTCTTAGCCAAATGTTGCTCTTTTGATCTGCTTAATTATTTCGAGGAGTGACTGCCTCTCTGGTGTTACTATTCACCTTACAGGCTTGACTATTGTTTGATGAAAGCAGAGCCACTGTGGTAAGCTTTATTCCAGTTTCAAAAGGTGACTAAAGGGATATTCTCAAGGGTCCCGCCAGACTCTATTGTACCAGTAATCCTGGCCTTTTCATGTTTTTGGGTTTTAGTCCACATTTCTCCCCTATTCTATCCAGGGGAAAAAATTATATTTCAAAACCAAAAATATGAACCAGGCACAATCTTGATCTTCCAGCTGCTTATTTCCTTGCTCCTCTGTGGAGCCTGTGAACATTCACCCATCACAGTGAATGTAGGTAACACCCCTCAGCCACACGGCATCAGTGCCACCTGAGTTCTTTCTTAATGCTAGTCAGGTACCCCGCTGATCTCTGGCTTGCTTGTTTAATCTCTTTTATATTGGGGGGAAAGCCTCTAATTTAGATAGAACCTAATCTTGGAGATTGTATCCTGCTCCATTAACACCACAGGGATTAGGATCAACAACACATAGGATAACTATATCACATCACAAAATGGAGGTTAACTACACAATACTGAGAACCCTGGCTTTGGAGAATTGACACATGTTCTGGAGGGACCCAAGTGAACCCATAACAAATCATGCTTGCTTAATTTAAATACGAGTGTTTGTGGAGACATATCTCTGGAGAGAGTGTGAATGCCAAAATGTCCGAGCAGAGAAGGAACCGTCATGCTTAAAATATGAGAAAGCCTGAGTCAGGATTGCCACAACTGACTGCGAGTGCCTGGAGGCACACGGCAGCACCCCGTTTTCAAAGAGCTCCATTAAGTGAAGTAAGTGAACAGGCTCAGAGTAATAAACCACTGTGGGTTGGTTTTTTTTTTCTCTCCTCAACAGTTTTCTTTGGAAAATTCCAAACTTGCACAAATATCATGAGAACACCACACCAATCATCTGTGTACCTAATGCTTATTTCAATAATTATCTTTATCCTCTTATCCCTTCTACCGTGGATTATTTTGATACAAAGCCCAGACACCCTATCAACTTATCTATGGTTGTGGTGTTGTCAGTTTGGCACCGTGTTGGGATTTTTTTCCAAAGTAGAAAAAAAAATATTCTCCTAAATCATTATTTCCTCCCCATAAAAGTCATCTGGCTGAATTAGCCTCTGGGACAGAACACTCACAGAATTGAGTGGAGGTAGGGGGAGCCCAGTACCTCAACAGGTCTTCTTAGAACCTATTGCTGGTAGCACAACAGGAGCTGACTATCACTGAGTGGATTCCAACTCATAGTCACTCTAGGGGAGATGGGGGGAGCTCAGTACTTCAACACTCTATGGGAGCAGACTGCCAAGGCACTGGGGGGTTCGAACTACCTACATTTCTATTAGCAGCCAATGAGGTTTACCTTTACTAATGTGCCACCACACAGTATCTGAGTCGATCCTTAAATGAAAACCCTTCGCTCTTCTGGAAGCTCCACCCTAACCTCGGATGTGTGCTCAGGTGAGGAACTTTCAAGCAGCAAGACCAAGTTCATCAGGAAGTGGCCCAGTTTCTCACTGTTGTTAAGCCAAGTGGAAGGATCGTGTGACTAGAAACCTCTATCATCAAGGCTCAATGTGTACTCTTCAATTTCTGCAGGAAGTTGAGACCAGCAGAGCAGGAAAAAGTTGGCCCAGAGGCGGAATCCTAGGCTGGCTTTTTCTGTGACTTCACACTGGGTGAGGCCTGGGCACTGCTCTATAAAAGCAAGTCATTGTTGCCTGAGAGGCAAGAGCTGCAAGATCTTTGGATTTCAATGTAAAAACTGAGAGGAGAGTGAGCCATTTGGGAAGGGCCTTTCCTCTCTCTTTTTTTAAATGTGTTTCTTTTTACTGTTGTTCATTTGTGTGTGGAAAAGAGACTTTTTGAGATCATGGTCAAGAGTGTAAAGCAAAATATTTCCAATTAAACGTGGACATTGACGATGACTGTGCAGCCATCACCAATGTCCAGCTTCCCATTTTTCATCCCTCTTTCCAAAAATTCGGCACCCCTTAGCAATACTC